ATGTCAGACATGTGTTCTCTAATGGTGTCTGTGTTGTTGTGTATGCCAGACATGTGTTCTCTAATGGTGCCTGTGTTGTTGTGTATGCCAGACATGTGTTCTCTAATGGTGCCTGTGTTGTTGTGTATGCCAGACATGTGTTCTCTAATGGTGCCTGTGTTGTTGTGTATGCCAGACATGTGTTCTCTAATGGTGCCTGTGTTGTTGTGTATGCCAGACATGTGTTCTCTAATGGTGCCTGTGTTGTTGTGTATGCCAGACATGTGTTCTCTAATGGTGCCTGTGTGTTGTCTAATGTGTTCTCTAATGGTGCCTGTGTTGTTGTGTATGTCAGACATGTGTTCTCTAATGGTGCCTGTGTTGTTGTGTATGCCAGACATGTGTTCTCTAATGGTGTCTGTGTTGTTGTGTATTCCAGATGTGTATTCTCTAATGGTGTCTGTGTTGTTGTGTATGCCCGACATGTGTTCTCTAATGGTGTCTGTGTTGTTGTGTATGTCAGACATGTGTTCTCTAATGGTATCTGTGTTGTTGTGTATGTCAGACATGTGTTCTCTAATGGTATCTGTGTTGTTGTGTATATCAGACATGTGTTCTCTAATGGTGCCTGTGTTGTTGTGTATGCCAGACATGTGTTCTCTAATGGTGTCTGTGTTGTTGTGTATTCCAGATGTGTATTCTCTAATGGTGTCTGTGTTGTTGTGTATGCCAGACATGTGTTCTCTAATGGTGTCTGTGTTGTTGTGTATGTCAGACATGTGTTCTCTAATGGTGCCTGTGTTGTTGTGTATGTCAGACATGTGTTCTCTAATGGTGCCTGTGTTGTTGTGTATGCCAGACATGTGTTCTCTAATGGTGTCTGTGTTGTTGTGTATTCCAGATGTGTATTCTCTAATGGTGTCTGTGTTGTTGTGTATGCCCGACATGTGTTCTCTAATGGTGTCTGTGTTGTTGTGTATGTCAGACATGTGTTCTCTAATGGTGCCTGTGTTGTTGTGTATGCCAGACATGTGTTCTCTAATGGTGTCTGTGTTGTTGTGTATTCCAGATGTGTATTCTCTAATGGTGTCTGTGTTGTTGTGTATGTCAGACATGTGTTCTCTAATGGTATCTGTGTTGTTGTGTATGTCAGACATGTGTTCTCTAATGGTATCTGTGTTGTTGTGTATATCAGACATGTGTTCTCTAATGGTGCCTGTGTTGTTGTGTATGTCAGACATGTGTTCTCTAATGGTATCTGTGATGTTGTGTATGTCAGACATGTGTTCTCTAATGGTATCTGTGTTGTTTTGTATGTCAGACATGTGTTCTCTAATGGTGTCTGTGTTGTTGTGTATGTCAGACATGTGTTCTCTAATGGTGCCTGTGTTGTTGTGTATGTCAGACATGTATTCTCTAATGGTGCCTGTGTTGTTGTGTATGCAGACATGTGTTCTCTAATGGTATCTGTGTTGTTGTGTATGCCTGACATGTGTTCTCTAATGGTGTCTGTGTTGTTGTGTATGTCAGACATGTGTTCTCTAATGGTATCTGTGTTGTTGTGTATGTCAGATGTGTATTCTCTAATGGTGTCTGTGTTGTTGTGTATTCCAGATGTGTATTCTCTAATGGTGTCTGTGTTGTTGTGTATGCCCGACATGTGTTCTCTAATGGTGTCTGTGTTGTTGTGTATGCCAGACATGTGTTCTCTAATGGTATCTGTGTTGTTGTGTATGTCAGACATGTGTTCTCTAATGGTGTCTGTGTTGCTGTGTATGTCAGACATGTGTTCTCTAATGGTATCTGTGTTGTTGTGTATGTCAGACATGTGTTCTCTAATGGTATCTGTGTTGTTGTGTATGTCAGACATGTGTTCTCTAATGGTGTCTGTGTTGTTGTGTATGTCAGACATGTGTTCTCTAATGGTATCTGTGTTGTTGTGTATGTCAGACATGTGTTCTCTAATGGTGTCTGTGTTGTTGTGTATGTCAGACATGTGTTCTCTAATGGTATCTGTGTTGTTGTGTATGTCAGACATGTGTTCTCTAATGGTGTCTGTGTTGTTGTGTATGTCAGACATGTGTTCTCTAATGGTGTCTGTGTTGTTGTGTATGTCCGACATGTGTTCTCTAATGGTGTCTGTGTTGTTGTGTATGTCAGACATGTGTTCTCTAATGGTATCTGTGATGTTGTGTATGTCAGACATGTGTTCTCTAATGGTGCCTGTGTTGTTGTGTATGTCAGACATGTGTTCTCTAATGGTGCCTGTGTTGTTGTGTATGTCAGACATGTGTTCTCTAATGGTGCCTGTGTTGCTGTGTATGTCAGACATGTGTTCTCTAATGGTATCTGTGTTGTTGTGTATGTCCGACATGTGTTCTCTAATGGTATCTGTGTTGTTGTGTATGTCAGATGTGTATTCTCTAATGGTATCTGTGTTGTTGTGTATTCCAGATGTGTATTCTCTAATGTTGTCTGTGTTGTTGTGTATGCCTGACATGTGTTCTCTAATGGTATCTGTGATGTTGTGTATGTCCGACATGTGTTCTCTAATGGTGTCTGTGTTGTTGTGTATGTCAGACATGTGTTCTCTAATGGTATCTGTGATGTTGTGTATGTCAGACATGTGTTCTCTAATGGTATCTGTGTTGTTGTGTATGTCAGACATGTGTTCTCTAATGGTGCCTGTGTTGTTGTGTATGTCAGACATGTGTTCTCTAATGGTATCTGTGTTGTTGTGTATGTCAGACATGTGTTCTCTAATGGTATCTGTGTTGTTGTGTATGTCAGACATGTGTTCTCTAATGGTATCTGTGATGTTGTGTATGTCAGACATGTGTTCTCTAATGGTATCTGTGTTGTTGTGTATGCCAGACATGTGTTCTCTAATGGTGTCTGTGTTGTTGTGTATTCCAGATGTGTATTCTCTAATGGTGTCTGTGTTGTTGTGTATGTCAGACATGTGTTCTCTAATGGTATCTGTGTTGTTGTGTATGTCAGATGTGTATTCTCTAATGGTGTCTGTGTTGTTGTGTATGTCAGACGTGTGTTCTCTAATGGTATCTGTGTTGTTGTGTATTCCAGATGTGTATTCTCTAATGGTGTCTGTGTTGTTGTGTATGCCAGATGTGTATTCTCTAATGGTATCTGTGTTGTTGTGTATGTCAGACATGTGTTCTCTAATGTTCTGTAATGGTATCTGTGTTCTAATGGTGTATGTTGTGTATCAGATGTGTGTTCTCTAATGGTGTCTGTGTTGTTGTGTATGTCAGACATGTGTTCTCTAATGGTGTCTGTGTTGTTGTGTATGTCAGACATGTGTTCTCTAATGGTGTCTGTGTTGTTGTGTATGTCAGACATGTGTTCTCTAATGGTGTCTGTGTTGTTGTGTATGTTCTCAGACTGTGTTGTTGTGTATTCTCTAATGGTGTCTGTGTTGTTGTGTATGTCAGACATGTATTCTCTAATGGTGTCTGACATGTGTTGTTGTGTATGTCCAGACATGTGTTCTCTAATGGTATCTGTGTTGTTGTGTATTCCAGACATGTATTCTCTAATGGTGTGTTGTTGTGTATGTGACATGTGTTCTCTAATGGTGTCTGTGTTGTTGTATCCAGACATGTGTTCTCTAATGGTGTCTGTGTTGTTGTGTATTCCAGACGTGTGTTCTCTAATGGTGTCTGTGTTGTTGTGTATTCCAGATGTGTATTCTCTAATGGTGTCTGTGTTGTTGTGTATTCCAGATGTGTATTCTCTAATGGTGTCTGTGTTGTTGTGTATGCCAGATGTGTATTCTCTAATGGTGTCTGTGTTGTTGTGTATTCCAGACATGTATTCTCTAATGGTGTCTGTGTTGCTGTGTATGCCAGACATGTCACTGGTGTCTGTGTTGTTGTGTATGTCAGGTGTAGCTGTGTTGTTGTGTATGTCAGACATGTATTCTCTAATGGTGTCTGTGTGTTGTGTATGTGTGTGTGTAGAGGACATGATCAAGTTGGATAAAATGTGCAAGTGTGTTGCTAGCTGTGTATGTGTATAATTCTTTTGTTGTGTGTTGTACTAGAGACATTGTGTGTTGTGCCAGTGACATGGTTTGTTGTACCAGTGACATTGTTTGTTGTACCAGTTACATTGTTTGTTGTACCAGTCTGTGTTGTTGTGTGTAGCCAGTTTATTGTTTATTGTACCAGTGACATTGTTTGTTGTACCAGTGACATTGTTTATTGTACCATTGACATTGTTTATTGTACCATTGACATTGTTTATTGTACCAGTGACATTGTTTATTGTACCAGTGACATTGTTTATTGTACCATTGACATTGTTTATTGTACCAGTGACATTGTTTATTGTACCATTGACATTGTTTGTTGTACCAGTGACATTGTTTGTTGTACCAGTGACATTGTTTATTGTACCATTGACATTGTTTATTGGACCAGTGACATTGTTTATTGTACCAGTGACATTGTTTATTGTACCAGTGACATTGTTTGTTGTACCAGTGACATTGTTTATTGGACCAGTGACATTGTTTATTGTACCAGTGACATTGTTTATTGGACCAGTGACATTGTTTATTGTACCAGTGACATTGTTTATTGGACCAGTGACATTGTTTGTTGTACCAGTGACATTGTTTGTTGTACCAGTGACATTGTTTGTTGTACCAGTGACATTGTTTGTTGTACCAGTGACATTGTTTGTTGTACCAGTGACATTGTTTATTGTACCAGTGACATTGTTTATTGTACCAGTGACATTGTTTATTGGACCAGTGACATTGTTTGTTGTACCAGTGACATTGTTTATTGTACCAGTGACATTGTTTATTGTACCAGTGACATTGTTTGTTGTACCAGTGACATTGTTTGTTGTACCAGTGACATTGTTTATTGTACCAGTGACATTGTTTGTTGTACCAGTGACATTGTTTATTGTACCAGTGTTGTTGTGTTTCTGATTGTCTAGCTGACATGATTACCATACCTCCACAGCTGGTTTGCTTGGCATCTGCCGTCATGTATTCCCTGCGCAGCACAGGAAGTTTGCAGCTCGTAGATGAGGACTCACCAGCAGCAGAATATGCCAAACTTGTGGAGTTTGAGGACAAGTTCAGAAGTCCAGATGATCAAGTTACACTTCAGGGTAAGGTTGTCCGAACCATATCCAGGCACTGTTCTGCTGCCAGAATTCAGAAAGCAGTCTTGCAGGTGTTCCCCATGATTGAAACTATCCGTACCTACAGTCTCACAGATCTACCCAGTGACATCATAGCTGGGATCACAGCTGGGGTTATGATGATCCCTCAGGGGATGGCCTATGCTGCCTTGTCCACCCTGCCACCAATTGTTGGTCTGTACATTTCCTTTTTCTCATCAGTGACTTACTTTGTGTTTGGCACTGGCAAACAGCTGTCCTGGGGTTGCATCGCCATTCTGAGCCTGATGGTTGCCACAGTGTTAGACAAGTATGACAGCACGCTCACTGACAAGTTGCCATCTGTGTGTGTATCTACATCAGACACTGTGTTGCCACCAGCATGTGGCTATGACACTGTGCTGCATGCAGCAGATGCATGGAATGGTTCTACTCTTACTGTCAACATGAGCACAGATTTGGCCTTGCCCTTAAATTGTTCAGATACGCTCATGACCTCACAACCAGCACTGAATGGGAGTTTGGAGAGGGCGCAGACTGCACGGAGACTAGAGATCGCCAGCGGTGTATCAGTCATCTCAGGATTGGTATTTATTCTTGCTTCCAGGTTCGGTCTGAGCCACATCGCAAGTGTCATGTCCAACTCTCTGATCACCGGCTTCACTGTGGGCATATCTTTCCATGTCATCACCAGCCAGATCAAAATTATCTTTGGTCTCTCAGTCCCACGATACACTGGCCTAGCAGCATTGCTGAAAACATGGATCTCCATTGGACGGAAACTTCCGGACACTAACCTGGTCACTTTGCTGATCTCGACCATCTGTATTGTGCTAATCTATCTGGTGAAGAGGTGTATCAATGATAGGTACAAGAAACAGCTGAGGCTGCCAATCCCCATTGAATTGCTTGTGGTGGTCGCTGCCACTCTTGTTTCCCAGTTTACACATTTACATGAACACTTCAATGTCACAGTTGTTGAGACAGTGCCAGTCGGTGTCCCAGCACCCAGATTTCCAGATCTGCTCCAGGTCATTGACTATATAGGAGATGGTATGATCATCATCGTAGTTGCTTATGCACAGACTTTGGCAATGGCCAAAACACTTGGTTTCAAGAATAACTATGTTGTGGACTCGAACCAGGAGATGCTAGCTTGTGGGATGTGCTCTGTAGTGTGTGGCCTGTTCTCTGGCTATATCCCAGGGGCATCTGTGTCTCGCAGTTTTGTTCAGGATGGAGCTGGAGGGAAAACCCAGCTGGCATCCTTGGTTGCTGCTGCACTTGTTCTCTTGGTCATTGTGGTCATGGGACCATACTTCTACTACCTGCCAATGTGTGTTCTATCTGCAATCATTGTTGTCAATCTCCAGACTGTGTTCCTCAAGTTGTTAGACATCCCCAAGGAATGGCGCCAATCCAGATATGATTGCATAGTGTGGATGTGTGCCTGCATTTCCTCTGTTGTTTTGAATGCTGAGGTTGGACTCCTGGCTAGTGTGTTATTGTCACTGTTCTTGGTTGTTTTCCGAACTATATTTTCTCCTGTAGAAGAGGTCGGGCAGATCCCCATCAGCTCCTTGTCATCAGAGTTGAGATCTCTAGAGAAATACTCCAGCAGTTTGGAAAATCCTGGTTGCTGCTGCGAACTTGTTCTCTTGGAATCAGTTAAAATGGAAAACTGAAACTTTCTGGGACCATACTTCTACTACCTGCTGCAATGTGTGTGTAGTTCTATCTGCAATCATGACCTGATTGTCGATGCGCTGCATCTTGATCCTGACTTTCCGTTGGGAGTAGTTCCTCTGGTGAAGCTGTCCCACAGAGGCATCCCAGCTGAAGGAATGGGCGTATGGAAATCATATATTCCTCACAGTTGAGGCATCTATAGCGTCCCTTGTCACACCAAATGTACATGGAGACGGCTGACCTCTAGGCTTTTATCTAAGTTTTTGAAAAAAAAAAACATAGAAGAAAATGCATGCTATGGAGGATCTGACCCAGTGTTTTTACACACATCCTCTGGCTATGTTATGGCATATAGATGATGCGGTTCAGTTATACAAGATGTGCAGCTCACTATTTCAACGTCTGCCAAGGAAATCCAGGTATCATCTGGCCTATTTATTGATTAATTGATATTTCTGTACTGTTGAGGAGTATTTGTGTACTGTTGAGGAGTATTTCTGTACTGTTGAGGAGTATTTCTGTACTGTTGAGGAGTAATTTTAGGCACACTGACTGCAGTCACTGCATTTCTAATATTATGGAGAAATCAATCATTTAAAATGTGGTCTTAAACCTTTGACCAGCACTGCAAATTATGTTCATTGTATATATGTATCAGATGTGTGCGTCAACAATTGAAACCTAGACAGATTTGTATAGACATGACAGTCTTGCATTAAAACTGCAGCAAGAGCCGGCACAAATCATTGGCACCAGACCCCAGTCACCTCATTGCTACATCCTGGTTTTGAAAACATTTTGTTCTCTGTGAAATATCCCTTTGTGTCAGTTTAAAACTTGTTGCATGAAAAATAATACTTTATTTTAGCCTGTTTATGAACTAGGAATTCACAGATGTGCCTTTTACATAATGTAAAGTGACAACAGCCCTCAAAGTATATTTGAGAGACAATTACTAGTATTGCACTTAGTGTTGGCATAGTGACAGCAACATCTCTTGGCCTCTGGCACCTAATGAGCAACTAACTCAATGATGGGTGACACTTGTGTCTGCCACTGACCGTAATATTGTCTCTTAGTCAGAATGGCTGCATCCTCATCTATGATTCATGGTTTCAGATGATTATTTCTGGGGACAGAGAGCTTGCTTGTGTGTAGGTTCAAACTGGTGACATCACTGAAGCTGACTCGTTGTTCTCCAGGCTGCCATTTGTCTCTGTGATCTGAGATGGATTTCTCATGATCATAGAGATCCCCTTAAAAGGTCCCTTTTCCACACTTTAAGGCCTATTTGGCATATAGGGCTAGGCCTTTATTTGAGCACACTGTTTGTAGGAATGTATAAATGTTTGTATTATATGAATCTATGTATGGTATGATTGTATCGTTGAATTTATGCATTTATCATCCATGTTTTTGTGTGTATTTTCATGTTACACATATAGTTTTATGAAAATACAATGCACATGCTGTATGAAAGACGAGTGTTTAGAAGGGCTGAATGTAAGACAGGCATGCGGGCCCTTTTGTGACCCTTTGAAATAAACTATGTTCATTATCTTGAATTCATCACAGCCCAGGTACTGCAGATATCTCTAGTCTTCCATGTGCCAGTTTGGCCCTCACCTGTTAAATACATAGTATTTACAATGTTTGCAGTGTTAGAAATTCACAATCATGAAAATGTGCACAATAATTTAAAGATTGTGTGAGTGCCAATTATTTATAGATTTTGTGTGTGCATAATCATTTATAGATTGTGTTTGTGCATAATTATTTATAGATTGTGCATGCATTGACATCAATAGATGATTTGTCTGATTATTTATAGATTGTGTGTGCATAATTATTTATTGATTTTGCATGCATTTTCATTTATAGATGATGTGTGCGTGATCATTCATAGATGGTGCAAGCATGATCATTTATAGAGGTGTGTACATGATTAGTAATGCATTGTGTGCGTAATTAGTAATACACTGTCTTTACATTTAAAGTCTATGTTGTTGTTGTTATCGTTCCATATGAGCTTTCACCCTTTGACCCAATGTCAGATAGTGGAATTTACATGATTTCACAATCTGTTCTTTTCCTCCATACATGGTGTTCCACTTGTCTGATCTCAGAGGGAGTAGAAATTTTCCAATCTCTCTGAGTTTTAGACAGAAATCAATAGTTTTTTCAGGATGGTTGCATAGCTGGCACTCTGGAGAATATTGTGGCTGCATTCTATTTAGATGCCTGTTGAGTATAAAAAAGTAAAGTAAAGATCCCTTTTCACGCCTTAGGCGCATCGGGTATATGGGAAGAGCGTCTCATATTTTTTACAGACCAATTGGCACTGGATGGGTAATGTGGTCAACATTAGGCCTTCCGTCTTTACTTCCCCAGGACATACATTTTGGTACCCATTTTAGGCTGGGTCGACCTGCGACGCCCCATACCATGATAGAAATCCACGCAGCCAGCAGTGGGTTTCGATCATGATATGTTGGATTACGAGTCGAACTTGCAATGCCTAAGCCACAGACACTGCGCCTGTTGAGTATGTTGTGTTCTAAGTCTGAAGATGGGGGCCTCGTCCCTTCTTGCTTGATAGTTGTCACTGTCGTTAGGATCAGGGCCAGCTATATGTCTGTAAATCTCTCTTCCAGTATCTCCCATGGTCCATCTGTTCAACCAAGTCTCTTTGTTTATAGCTCTGAAAAGTGTTTGTTGCTGTCTGTAGGGTTGTTGCTGTGGGTGGTGGTTCTTATGTTGTCAAGAGTGGCCTGAAATCCACTGCATCACATCACTATTCTGATGTTGTATCAGGTACTGAGCTGATTAGCATCCAGAATTATCTTGCTTTGTCAGTTCTGCAATGTTCACTGCCCTCCAGAGCTTGTAGAACGGACATTGGATCAGTGAAGATGACAGCATTTTGGGTCTTTGAAGGATAAACATCAGTTACAGTCTTTAGTTGGTATACCAGTGCAATTTTTTCAGCTTTATAATCTGAGCAGAATTCCCCGCATGCATCAAATATCTCTCTACCAGATCCATCAGGATAACCTTTGATTAATAGATCCATCAGGATAACCTTTGATTAATAGATCCATCAGGATAACCTTTGATTAATAGATCCATCAGGATAACCTTTGATTAATAGATCCATCAGGATAACCTTTGATTAATAGATCCAGCAGGATAACCTTTGATCAATAGATCCATCAGGATAACATTTGATTAATAGATCCATCAGGATAACCTTTGATCAATAGATCCATCAGGATGACCTTTGATCAATAGATCCATCAGGATAACCTTTGATCAATAGATCCATCAGGATAACCTTTGATCAATAGATCCATCAGGATAACCTTTGATCAATAGATCCATTAGGATAATCTTTGATCAATAGATCCATTAGGATAACCTTTGATCAATAGATCCATTAGGATAACCTTTGATCAATAGATCCATCAGCATAACTTTTGATCAATAGATCCATCAGGATAACCTTTGTAGGTTCCGAAACTTGCTGTAGTGGTAGCTTTGAATGCAGATCCATCAGTAGAAACATGCATCCATTCTTCAGGGGTAGGAATTAATGGTCTTCAGCGATGAGTTCAAAGGTTGATTGGGTCAGACTGAAAAGGTGTCTGTTAGGATGGTTACAATTCATTCTAATGCATCTTTCATACATTTCTAAAGTGTCTTTTATCTCCGCAACTCAAGGAGTTCCACATTTGTATGGAATTCACATGCAGCAGTTGGAGTAGACCGCATTGCTCTGCTGATTAATCAGAGAGGATTATTTTGTACTCTTTCAAGAGACTAGGTTTATTTTGGAGCAGGTTGTAAGCAGTGAGTTGTTTTACTCTATCACAGAGCGAACATATCCTAGATATAAGCCCCTCAGAGTTTCCTTGTCTGATCCCCAAGCTGTGCCTGCAACTCGCTTCAATAACTGTAACCGTTTCAATGCCTTATTCCTTATGTTTTCAATATGATTCTTGAGGCTCAGCTGCCGGTCAAGTGTGACTCTGAGGTATGTAGGATGCTCTTCTTTCATCACCTCGTGTCTGTCTAACCTCGTTGATATTCTTTTTTTCTAATTTATGGCTTTTGGTAAAGATTGTGATGGACACTATCTAAAGCTCATATACGCAAAATTACCACCTGCGAGATGAGGTGCCTGAGAAAAGCAGCCAACCTAACCATCCGAGATCGAGTGAATAATGAAACTATCTGGCGAATTGTGGGAACGACACCTTGTACTAGATTCATCGAGAAACAGCAGATCAAGTGGTTTGGCCATCTCGTTAGAATGCAGCAAGATCAAATACCATCACAAGCACTACATCTCAGAAGATCAACTACAAGAGCAAGAGGACAGCTGTGGAAAATATTGATCGACAACATTAAAGACACTCTACCCCTTCACGGCATGACAATAGCCAGTGGCAGCCAACATGCACTGGATCGCAAATTATTCCTCCCCACGAAGCTCAACGGCAGAAGTGGTTTATGATGATGATGGTAAAGATTGTGAAGACTGTTTTTGTATAGTTAACTTTGAGCTTCCATCTTTGGCAGTACTCGTGCAGTTTTATAAGGTCTCCATTTAGTTTTTGGGGCCACACTTTCTAAATTTTGATGGCATCAGCATACAATGCCTTGATTTGTTCTGGCAAGTTGTTGGTATAAATTAAAAACAGTGTACAGCTCAATGATGAGCCTTGTGGCAAGCCCTCCTCCAAGACTTCTTTAGATTGCGTTGTGTATCTTAGTCTGGATTGTAAATTGTTTGTGTCAGTCATCACTGTTTTGGGTTCACTAAAGTCCATGCTTTATTTCTGTTCTGTCCAAGGTCTAAGTTGGAGCAACTTTCTGATGATTCATCACTGTTTGTTTATTACCTACAAGCTTGACTCTGGCACATATTTTATTGAATTAGATCTTTGCTTATTGTGGACGAGCAGTTTTGAGTAATATTCTTCATTTCTTTCGG